AAGTACATGTTAAGTACAACTAACCTTTGCCCTGACCTGAACCACATTAAGTACATGTTAAGTACAATTAATTAATATTACTTAGTAATTAAATGATTCGTTTTACTGTAACAAGGACACCTTAAAATAAAACATTAACAAAATAAATGCGATTAAACACATTAAATGCGCTTATAAAAGGTTTATTGTTATGGCTTGGTTTAAAGGCTGTAAATAATTACAGAAATTATGTATAAAGTACCGGGTTTTACACAATTCCTTTATGTTGTTAAATTTATTAAGGTAAATGTTTTCCCAGATTTAATTGGATTCGACATAAACAATTAGGCTCCCCAGAGTTGGTTTGGGCTGGAAGGGCATCCGCTGCGTAAAAATGTGCTGGATAAGTTGGCGGTTCATTCCGCTGTGGTGACCCTGAATTAATAAAAGAACTAAGCCGACAAGAAAATGAATGAATGAATAAACAATTAGGTTGTCCCAAAAACAATTTAAGAATAATGGGTTGGTTTAAAGGCTGTAATTAATTACAGAAATTAGTTACTGGTGTAATTAGACATTGTAAAAAATACTGGGCTTCACTCAAGACAAATCGATGAAGTTAACTTAACCGTGTTTACAAATTTAAGTGGCTTCAACATAAAACAATTAAGTTGTCCCAAAAAAAAAAACACTTAAGAATTGTTGTTTCAACTTATTCTAAATAAGTATAACAAGCAGCAAAAGTATTTTTTTAAGTGCAGACGGGTATTTTGCAATAATGTATGTATACAAAATAGATGCATTGTACCAACAATTAATATCAGTGTAAGTGCATAATAAAATGGGACCAAAATTGCGTAAAAAGTGTCCTTGTTACACGATGCATTTAAAATCTTAATAACAGTTATGCCTAAATACGTACAAACATAACCCTCATCCTACTCCAAACCATTTAGTAAGTAGACATACTCCTTACTTAAATCTACAAAGTTAACAAAGACACCGTAAAATAAAGTGACAACCTAAACAGATGTATTTCGAAGTGAGCCGCTAGGGCGCGGTGTTGGTCTTCAGGAGAGCTTTACTAACACTGCTGCTCGCCGTCAGTCACCTCACATTGACTGTTAACATCATTTCGAGGCATTTTCAACTCGGGTGAAGTGCTCTTTAGATGTAATGTAAACCTCAGCCAAAATGTCAAGTACTAGCCGCGGTACTAGGGAAAAAACATACTTGTGTCAACCCCAAAAATTCAAGCGTCACAAGAGGGGATAGTAACTCTTATGTAGGCTAACGACTGTAATTAGGCGCTTCAGTTCTCGCAAACAGGAAAACAAAAATCTGTCACTCAAACATCAACAGATTTTCAGATGTTCTGTCGGTCAGTGAGGACAATGTTCTGAAAATGGACGATTTCAAGAATAGATACACTTTAATAGAATGTATCCGCTTTGTTAGTTAGTTACTTTGAGACTAAATGGCTACACTGATTTTTGCTCTTAAGACCAGCCCCATCCTTTTAAAAGTAGTTTACAGCATGGCTTCAAAATAATCAGACATATCAAATATGATTTTTTTTGTTTGTGTTTATTAGTGTAGTTTTATTTTATTATGCTACTGCAGTAGCAGGCCCATAGCGAGCCCGGTAGGGTTGGTTCTTTTTTCTCAACTGTGGATCTTTTTGCAGCTATTCGCCTCATTTACTGTTTATTTGTGGGATTTACATTCTGCATTTTGGTGACATTTTAAGCACTATTTTTTAGCTGGATTAGCTTGTGGGATGGTCATCATAATCACTTTTTAATGTACCAACATATTTCCTATTGATTTAGAATAAATAAAAATGAATACTTATTTTTAAAATACAAATTTATTACATAAAAAAATAGGAATCTGTTAAAGTTTTAGATTAAAAATTTTAGCCTACTGTCATTTATTATGCAAATTAAAAAACTGACCATCATCTTTCCTCAGTCAGAATTTGCCTATTTAAATAATTTAAAAAATAAAACAATAATAATAACAAAAAAAGAGCTTTATGATTTGTCTTGCCTGTCTTATGAAAAAAAGTACATTTGATCGAAAATTTTTGGATGACAACAATAGACAAATTAGTATTTAAATTAATATGTTTTATATTAATATTTATATTAATATATTTTAATATGGTCTGCTTTTAGTGCTTCACATATTTCATTAATATTTTTTTTTTGTTTTAAGAATAAGCTCCAAGATTTAGAATAAAATTTACTTAAAATGTTTTCTCTATTTAAAAAGAATACAGTAGTGAAAGATGACTTCACTTACACCCGATTGTATGTTTTTTTGCACAGCTGGATGTTGGACTCATGAAAAATAATAGTTTGCATTGGCCAAAACTGATTAGCTGAAGTCACATGATGTGACAGTCAACAGATGATTCAGCTTGGCCTTAAAGCCTTTCTAAATGGGTTATTTTCTAAATTTATGATGGTGTAGCAGTCAAAATAGGACAAATGGTCCATGTATGGGACACATTCTGGACCTTGTCATTGAGGGTCGAGAATTTGTGGTCTTACGAACCACCCGAACCCCACTGGCTACGGGCCTATTTCATAGGCCATATTATGCGTTAAATCCCCTATGAGGTACGTGCTTTAGAGCACGACTTTGCTCTTCTTTGTTTGCAATAAATGTTTCAGTAATCTTAAAAACTTAACTATAAATTAAATTAATACTTAAATATTTTAAATAAAACAGATATATAGGCAATTAATGTAGCCTATAATTATAGGCCAATATAAAATATATTAGTTTAATCCATATTAAGATTAAAATAAAAGGCCTGTTTTAAAATATGATATCGCTAAAATAGATAAAATATCTGTTTAATCGTTAAAAAATAAATAAATACATAAATAAAGGGCAAGCTTAGATTTTTTTCTGTAAAACTACTTAGTCCAAGATGATATGGAGTTTAATAGCCTATATTTAATCAAACAGACTAAATAAGCGTTATTTCGTTTGATTTCTGATATTATTTTTTTCATAGCTGCCATGTAAATTTAAAAAAATAAAAGGAACACTTAAAAATATTAATAATAACAAAACTCTATAGGATATTTTAAACGAAAATATGGGTCAAATATGGATAAACCTTTTTTTATTATTCCAACAGTATACTTAATATTATATGAAATAATCCAACATTTTAAGAAAATTGAGAATAATAATTTAAATTATTCTCAATTTCCTTAAAAAAAACCCTGGGTTATTAATTAGATATTTCATGTAAAATGCTGGGTATTTAAACCCAAATTAAGAAAATTATGGGTTAAATTTGGTCCAATTAATTTAATAAAAAAATAACCCAGTAGTTGTGGATTAGTCCCTGTTACATCCAGAATGGAGTTTAATGTAATATTTGATAAAAAAAACAATTTGTCTATCCATGTAAATAGCCATCAGGGTTTCTGCAAGTTTCTTCAGGTAAAATTTAAGACTTTTTAAAGACCCTTTTTAGACCATTATAATTTAAATAGACTTAGGGCTAAACACTAAGTATTCTTTTCTAATGGATTACTAATAAATATAGTTTTTGTATTAATGGAAGCTCGTGTAGGGATGTGCTGCATTAGTTTTCTTTCTCTGCTTAGGCAATTTAAGGAAAATTCGCTGCAACAATGTCTAACTGCTGTTGTTTATCTCTTTGCAATGAAAACAAATATTAAAAAAATGTTTTAAGATGGACGATTAGTATTGGGTGTGGACCTAATTGAGTAGCTTTACTTGGGACAGATTTCAAGACCTGTTTTAAATGATTTAGATCAACAACATAATATTTAATTTACCTTTAAAATCGAAAATTTAGTTTTTGAAATTTGAGACATTAAGACAGTTAAAATCACTGAGCCTTACAAATCGAGTAATTTTACCTGCTTTAATCAAAAATTATCTTTGTATTTTTTCGGAAATTACACTTCAAATGCAAATATTATCTGTCTAATAGGCTAGCCTCACGCTGTGAAGTCGTGGCTTTCAGTCGAGCACATTAATATTCATATACCTTCGAATTCCAAACATTTCGATTCTCAGTAGGAACCCAAAGCATTTGGATCTATTGTTCAGACTTCAATCTGGACAGAAAACAGCAGGAGAATGTGCGTCTGCCTAGACAGCTCTGAGAACTGCGGCTCTTTGCACAATGCGCTCATAAAAATCTACTTGACTTTTCAACCCCAACTATTCCGAGCGATTAGGCCAATTGTACCTCCATCTTCTCGCTGCCCAAAACCGCTGCCTCGATCTGCTCACAACAGACACAAATGGGCCGAAATAAATCCGGCAGAGTCAAGAAGCAACAAACCTCCCCATTTCCATCGGGTTCCTTTTGAGATTTATTCATTAGGAACCGCATGCAAATAATTCGCTATTCATGGGCGTTTTTTGAACACACGGGCACAGATGTGGGGTATTATTTGGGCTCGACCGAGCGAAACTGTTAATGCGCGCTCAAAGGCGGGTTAACCTAATCAATCACGTTGACTAGTTTGTGTTAGAGAAGATTCATAAACCATATGGCGCAAGCTTTATGTTGTCCTCGTGACAATGTGAGAGGGGGAAACCTTGTTCAGTTGTCCTAATTAAGCTTCAAGCACTTAACACACACACAAACACTCCTAACGCACACAATGAAGCGATGTGTAAAAGTGCTCTGCCTCTTTCAGCTGTTTAACTCCGCGAGAGTGTGCCATAAAACAATTTGCATAAAGTATTTTATGCAAGGCACTTGTGCTTAATTATACTGTATAAATGCTTATGAAAGGGTAAATTTCAATTTAATTGCTGCCTTAAATTTTTAGGTGCTGCTAAACTATTGTTAATTTAATCAAAGAAACTACAAATTTAGTAAAAGCAGAGAGACATTTTAAAATTGTGGCATAATCATGGAAAAGAAAAGTGTGTTCATGGGAGAAATATTACTTTATAATTCGGCTCAGCATATACAGTGCATGATTAAATACTGACTCAAGGTAAAGAAACATTGTGAAATTACATATACCCTTTATTTACATAAATGAGGATTAAATAGAATGTTACAATAAATTTAACGAGTTAGATGCATCATAACTTGTTATATATATACACAACCTTGCCCTTGCATTGTTTTGGACATACATCTTTTTTTTTAATAATTTGTAAATAATGCCTGTAGGAATTGTGTCAGGAACTGGGATACATAATGTCAAACTTTGGGAAATTACAGTGCAGAACCAAGACTGAAAAAAAAGGTTTCTGAGGACATCTTGTGTTCTGAAATTATTTATAAATATATAATTCTACTCAGCTGAAAACTGAATTGAAAATCACTTTTGGCTTAAGAATTTCTACAGCGTTCATAAATGTGTGTCATAAATGGTGTAAACAATTGCACAGGTTTCCTTTGAGAAAAGAAATGGAGAAATAAAGCTTAAAATGTACATACACTTTTTGCAGTCTTGATACTGTACCATTTATCTCTAAGTGTTTCTTATGAAAGCGTATTCCTTAAAACCGTGTCTTCCATCTGGACGTCAGAATGTAGAGGTCCTTTCAATAAATTAAAAATAAGGGAGACAGAAAACGTTCCTTGCATTTCAAGTTCTTCCGTGCAAAAAGTCGTGAAAAATGCCCTTCTCTGAAAACAAGGGCCTGCGTTTAATCGTCCACCTCGATTTCCTCGTCCTCCTCTGAGAACTCGTCTGTGGTTTGGCCTCTGGACGAGGATGGGGACTGTGGAAAGGCTCTTGGGGAAAGACTGGGAGAAATGGGCCCCGAGCCACCGTGAGCGTCTTCCATGTCCTCCATGGACACCAGTTTCTGCAATGCCTGTGGTGGGATTTTCTTGAGAGACTCTACGTCCGCCTTCATCTCCTCCAGATCTCTCTTGAGCTTGGCCCGTCGGTTCTGGAACCAGGTGATGACCTGCGCATTGGTCAGCCCCAGCTGCTGTGCTATCTGGTCTCTGTCAGCCGGTGAGAGGTATTTCTGGTACAAAAACCTCTTTTCCAGCTCGTAGATTTGGTGGTTGGTGAAGGCTGTGCGGGACTTCCGTCGTTTTTTGGATGCCTGTCTTTGGCCAAAGGCGTTGATGTGTTCACGACCTTAAAATGGAAAGAAAGGAGAGTTGATTTCCAGGAACACATGACAGAAATAATGCATGCAGGCAGTGTGTGTGTGAGAGAGAGAGATCTATACAATTTCATATAAGTTGGTAAGTCATTCTCAAGCAATATACAGATTTATATTAAGTAAAAAAGCTTGACTGGATTTCCTATTTTTGCTTATTTGGACTACAATTTCTATGAAGGTTACTCAAAGTTCCTTGGTGGTCCTATTTTTGGATGTACATGTTTCTTGAGTTGCTATGTGGTTCTCTGGAGACTAAAAAGTCCTTAATAACTTCTTTATATTAGTGTTTTGTTTCTATAAATTTTACACCAACAAAGCAAACTGTACATATAATTTTTAAAGATTTTTTTTGCATAATCAAGCTGCAAAATCCTGTTTGGTTCAAATTAGAACTTTTATTTTTGAGTGTACACACTGTTGTGTTATGTGATAGGCCGCAGTTGTTCATTCCAGCTGCATAACAGCTGTTCTTGAAAGAAGGGGAGAAACTTTCCAAAACATCTGAACTATTGATTGCCAAGTAAATTTGAAATATTTGATGTGTTAATCAAGCAGCCTATCACGCCACAGGACTGGCCTCAATCGTATTACCGACGACCTTAACTGCTAGTTTGACCCACAGAGACAGACAGTTCTGCAATGTCAACACGAACGTCATGATCTAGAACTGTTTTCAGTAAATATGTCAAGCAAACATGAATGATTTCCATCACTTTAACATCCTCGTAAACGCACGTCGATTTTTATCATATATATCATATATCATATATATCATATATCATATATATGAAAATAAAAATAACTTCGTTCTGTAGAAAAGGGTAATTTAGCTACTGACATTAACGGATAAGGCAAAACATTTCATAAAAAAAAAATGAATTAAAAATAGCAATTCGAGAAAATGATTGCTTGTTTTAAGAGGGGATATTTGCTTGAGAATCTAAGAAGTTTTGATTTTCAGGGCGGTGGGTGAAATTCCTGAAATAGTGACAATCACACTCTACGAACCGCTATTGAAATTCGGTTTAAAAATATGTAGGCTATGACAAAGAATTTAATAAATAAGCTAAGGTTATCTTCTTTTTTACCTAAAAGCGAAATAAATATGCTCCTTTTGACTAACAAGTAAGAAATAGTACACATACATTTGTATGTGTTCGTAAAAGGCTATTTTGTTTAATCGATGTCGTGTAAAACATGCATTTATAAAATGATGGCTCGCATTTTCCAAAAGCGTCACTAAAAATCCATATGTGCATTGAAAACAAGTGCGATAATTCGTTAATAATTATGAACTTTTTACCTTCTGCTGCTTGTATAACGCTGACTTCCAAACCCTTAAATGTTTTGCTCGCCAGCTCCTCCAGCGCGCACAACGGCGAGGACGGGGCGCTGATCCCGTTCCGAGATGCGCTCGAGCCGGTTACTTTCTCCAGCACCCGCGGAGGGCACAAACTACCGACGGACTTCTTAACGGAGGGCTTGTTTAAGATATCCTCAATGCTGAACGGGGTGAGAGGCTTGTTGGAGTTGGCCGGAGGTGGGAGTTGGTCCAAGGGACCCCGCCGCCTCTCCTCGCCGCTGGACTGCAAAACGGATCCTGCTTTCATGTCTTTAGAGCTGGAGGTCATCTCAGTCCCAAGAAACTATTTCGAATAGAAGTCACCTAGCTCGCTCAAACTTGTTTATACATACAAAAGCCTTGTCTGTTCCTTTCTTTACAAAAAATCGTTGTTGTTCCTCACTCTGAAGAGGCTCTCCAAAAGCACCATGCTTCAGGCGTCACATGCAGGAAGGCACCCGAACTTTAGTCCTCATACGCGGTGTTCTCTGAGCTGCTCCATGAAGATCTTCACCGTGTGTAGCCTTAGTGTCTCAAGGAGCCTCAAAACAGCAAGCAACCGCTAACGAGTTCTTGTTGATTGCTTTTGTGAAGTTCAATTAGAGAAACACTACACTACTTGCTGACCCGCTGCTCCGTCGTCTTAAAGGGCCAGACCATAATAATGAATTGGACCGAGAATAGGAGGAGTTTCCCCCTGAAGTTTAAAGAGAGGGGAGATGGCTCGGGATGTTTATGCATCTGTTGATGCATCCCACTCCCACTTAGGGAAAACCACGTGCTCCACCCGTATACCACCCTGAAAAGGGAGAGTGTGTGCTCATTAACACCAACACAGCCTTGAGTAAAGCAGTACGTTAATTAATACAATTTCATTTTAAAACAACAACTCAATTTCAAAACAACAACAATGATGATAATAATAATAATAATAATATGATTGATGAAAAATGTACAGAAACATTATAGAAATGTCTATAAAAATCCACATTGATGACATTCAAAAATGCAATATTTCAGTAATAATATATTCAAGAGTTGCCCTAATGGCAACAACTTGCTAATTAATATTGCAGGGTGTGATTATTGCACTTTTGGAGGCTGTTTTGACAGCGTAATTGTCTCACACCTTGTGTATCTGCTGTCATCATAACGCCAGGCTTTCAGCACAATACAAATTATTTTACTGAGAAAGCCGCATCAGTTATTGGACAACAATAATATTACACAATATAAATACACAAATTTGTATATTCCTTTTTACACTAATTTCACCATACATTTCAATGTTGATGCTAACAAAATGTGTTGGTTTTTGAAGTAACCTCTTCAATACTTAAATGACTTTTTTATGCAAGGGCATACATTTTTTTAAAAGATTATTATCGTTATATATTTTTGACAGGAATTTTTCCTTTTCATATGATTTTAGAGACCGCTTGAAGAACTTATCAATAATTATATATATATATATATATATATATATATATATATATATATATATATATATATATATATATATATATATATATATATATATATATATACTGGACAGTTCCATTCTACGAATTTGTAAAAATGCTCGTGGGTAAAGAAGAAAAAGCAGCATATAGCCTACTTCCAGCACTGCTGTTCTGACACAATGCGCGTCGGAGAGAATCTCAAATGATGCTCGTGGGACTCGCAAGAATATGCAGGTAAGAATACATCGTGTTTTTTTCTTTAGAAAGCACCGGATATATGAAAGCAACGGCTGATGTACCAGAAGAATATATTTAACAAAAGCATATCTATTTTTTTATTCTTACACAACAGGTCGTGATTTCTTGGTGCATCCATAATAGGCTACGATATGTTTTCTTTGTCCGATTCACCTTGCTTTTAAACATTAACATTTTTTTTTCCTTTATAGGCCTTTATAATCTATTTTTGATGTGCTCCTAATTGTTTTAAACGGTAAATTTGTATCACTTGTAAAATGAATGAAATGGTTTGGCACTTAATGACTGAGTTGCTAAATTGTAAACAGGCCTATAAAATAAACACAATTGAAATGTCTTCGCTTAAACCTTTGCTAAGGCCTGGTGAACATTTTGGTGGTCCCCCTATAAATATAAAACACTGGGTAATAAAGCAAGCGGCGACGTTGACATCTGACAATATTTAACAGGGTTTCAATAATCGATTAGGGTGATAGATGTCTCTCTTACACGAGTCATTTGCGATGTATGGCCAGGTTGAAATATCGCATTGTCCGTGCCAAGAGCACCATATGGTGACATCCGTACAGGGACTGAAACGAGCCAAACAGCTCACGAGCAGTAAAAACAGCACGACATTCTATTAGTGCGGGTCCAAAGCGGTCGACGTGGGCGACACAGGGCCAAACTCAATAGAATATTTTATGGCAAATGAGCACCAATGCATTGAACAAATGTAACTAACCAGACTGCAAAAGACATACTAATGAGTTTACGCGTGTCACATCTGTTTCAGAAATGCACATTTTTTCTTTTTACAATTTTACAGAGCACACAAGAAATACACCTATTTGAAATTTCAATAAGGTCATGCTTTTTATAAATATTATCATAGAAATTTAATTAGATTTAAAATGCAATAAAAAAACAACAATTGACATTTTTGTAAATAAAATCAAATAGGTTTAACACAGCCTATTATTTGTTATCATTTGTTTAAAATGTGCGTTAATAATAATAATAATAATAATAATAATAATAATAATAATAATAATAATAATAATAATAATAATACAAATAAAGTCACACTTTACAATTAGGTTTCATTAGTTAATGTATTTACTAACATGAACTAATAATGAACAACGCTTGTACAGCATTTATTACTAAAACACTATTAATTACTAATACATCCAAATTCGTGTTTGTTAACAATAGTTAATGAACCGTTAGTTAACTAACAATAAATACTGCAACAAATGTGTTGTTCATTGTTTGTTCATGTTAGTAAATGCATTAACTAACATTAACTAATACAACCTATAAAGGGTGAGCAAAAATAATTACTCTTATCAGTCCAGTCGGCTTCAAATGTCCTTAACGAATTGGTCACCCCGGAATGCCAGGTCAGAGCAAAGCTGCTAAACCTATTAAATGATACACGGCTATTAATGTAATGTGGATAGATAGGATTTCTGATAGGGAGAATGATGCCCTTCAGCGCCAACAATAGCACATTCGCATTACCCCACAGAGGGCGGGTAGAGAAACCGAAGCTGAACATGGTGTTACATTTCTCTCAAATGCGCGAGCATTATTAGTTCTAAAGATAATCCCCGCCATCTCTCTTCTCCAAACCGCTCGGAGAGGATCCTGACGGTCTCAAGCGGAGCAGCGCTAATTCGAAAGCTTTTCTTTGGCCTAATTTAAACGTTAATTAGAAACAGAACACCTGACATCATCAATCATCAAGGCTTTAGGGGGAGCACGAGTTTTATTTTCGCCCAGCCCGTGTCTGCGTCACTTCCCTCAGCAGATACGCAGATGGAGGTGGCAGTGATCGGGCTACTCCAAACATTTATGGGATAAAGCTACTGTGCAAGGGATTGACTCGTTTTATCAATGCAACAAATGGAACAACATAAAACAGAACTGATATATATTTATATTGTTTTCACAATAGAACAATATTTAACAATATTAAAAAATCTAGTTGTGTAAAATTATTTCTCTTACAGAACTATTTACGCGTTAAATATTAAATGGATTACTCAAATATGAATAAAATCTTGGAATTTGCAAATAACTACTAACGAGATTATAACATTGCTACCGCTTTTCTGTAATCGAAAATTATACTGATATTATACGTAGCAAGATATAAATTGTTACCATTTTATTTTAATTTTACGTTTGTAACACAATTAGATTGATCAATTACAAACAATTCAATCAAAATAGCTGCAGCGTTGCAAAAGCTAGGTGAATATGATATATTAAACAAGCTAAAATAATAATACTTTACAAATGCGTAGCAAACTAATTTATTTTGCATTGCTTTCTCTTATTTTGTTCTTGCTAAAATACCTTAATCCATACCAATTGTATAATGTAAGAAACAATTAACTGATTCATTTTCAATCCTTGACGCTCAGATGTCATAGCAGGTGAATAGAAATAAAAGCTGAGTCGGTGACTGATATTAAATGTGTATTTCTCAGAAAACACCTCAGATGTTTTATCTGCACTGAACTTTAACACACTCGTTTCTGCTAGCATTGCTCACTCTTTTTCTCTCTCTCCCTCACCCAAACAGCTGTACTAACTACTATATAAACATGATACGGGGACATACGCATTAACGTGGAGCCAAGCGGTGACATTTGACTGTGATGAACCTATCGGGTGTGTTGTGAAGTGAGGTGTTACTCTGTGCATTTTTTTTTATTCATTTCTTTTCTTTTCTTTTCTAAAACACTGTCTTGACGCAGTTTGATCCCACACTGCTAACGAACCTATGAATATAGGTAGAGGTAAGATTTCTTTTAGAAATATTATAGAATTATTGAGTTTACCATTATGATCCAGAATTAAGAGGTAAAAAAGTGGATGGTATAGTGTCAGTGAAGCTGCAAATTCACACGGTGTGATTAACACGTTCCTTCATAGGGTATCTGAACTGTTAAACATCTATTTGGGTGCTTTCAACAAAAAAATTTGGGCCTCTAAATTGATGATCAAAAGCGCAATAGCATTTATGAGCAAAGCACATTAGAGTTTATATGCATATGTTTTTATATTTTTATATTTAAGATTACATGCAAATATATTAAAATGTGCAGCTATTATTGTTGTTATTATTGTTTGCATGTATGTATGTATATATGTATGTATGTATATATATATATATACACACACACACACACACACACACACACACACGTGCAGCATAGCAGCATAAAATACGCATATTATTTAATTGATTTTTTTATTTAGAATTTACTTTTGGTTTATTTGTTTAAACTAAAGACAATTTGTTGAAGCACAGGACTATAATGAGCTAATCAATGTGGTCATGAGTGTTAATTGTGTTTAATAATGTCTTATCGATGAGCGTTTCTTCCAATTTGACAAGCTCAAGTCAATTAAGGAGCAGCAAAATCGGAAATCCATTATGGTGAAGCGCGTGCACTTTTGACGGTCACAGGTTAATTGCGCGGGCGCGCGCTGGTTGAACGTGTCCAAAAAGCTCTCATTATTACCGAGACGCCTCTCTCTCTCTCTCTCTCTCTCTCTCTCTCTCTCTCTCTCTCTCTCTAAAAACAATATAATCAGAGTCGCCTGCTGTTTTACATCCCATGTTGCTTTTGATGGTGTCATGTTCAGCCGTATTTAGTACCTGTTGATGTTTTCTCTTTCTGTGGATGACAAATGCCTCGGCTCCCCAAAGCGCACGCACCCTCCCCAACAGCCCCGAGCCCGGACAAACGGACGCGCGGATCAAAGGCTCGGACCCCACCAGAGTTGTGTTGCACCCCGCCAGCGCGCCACTGGGGTCGGCTCGAGATCATAAAAAGGTCCGTGAGGGGCACGACTCCTGCAGAGGATTATGGAGCTT